TACAAACCCTAAAGGGTTTGGGCCATCTATTTTAGGTTTGTAATATTTATTAAATAATAATAATATATATATAAATAATAATAATAATATTTATAATAATAATAATAATTTAAGTAAAATAAAAATTAGTGTCTACACCTATAAAAGAAACAAAGTTTGTATAAAAAAATTGAAGATGCCCTCTGCTTTGTATTTCCAGAGTTCTCTTCCACCTGCCCTTTACAATAATGTGTTCTATGATGGAAATAAAAATGGAATCTACTTTAACTATACTTTGACAGAATGAGAAATCCAAATCCTACCATTATGCAGCAAAGAAAATTGGCAGTGATCGTCTTCTCAAATTTATGATGAAAAATTTGATTTTGGAATCCATTTTTACCCCCCCCCAAATATAGGTCGTTGGTGCTAGGACCTTGAAAACGATAACTCAAATAAATAAACAGCTTGTGGGCAGAGCATAGGGAGAATAATAGTTGAAACTGGAAGGCATCTCTTCCTTTTTATCTGTGCTTCCTCTTTCAACGTTATCCATGATGATGATAGATGATCACAAATCATCAAATGGCTTTACCAGACATACCCAACTGATTAAAGATAGTAGAAATGACATTAAAATAACTTGTAGAGATGTGAAAAGAATATAAATAGGTGACTATGTGAACTAATTAGGTTAAACTTGACTAAATATAGTAGCAGCGTGGGAATCTTAAAAATCTTGCAGCCATGAAAAAGCTAGTATGTTGCAGTGGTTGCAGACCATCCTTTAATAAGAGGGAAAAAAGAGAGATTCCATCTCCACGAGCATGCTGCCTCAGGTAAAAATAAAGGGGTTTCAAAGCTTTTCAGTTAAAAGTATTTCCTCTTTACTCTGTCGACAAAAAGACAAATGATATGGGTTGGAAGACAATGCTCTTCTTCCTGGAAGCAGAGCTCTAACCAAAAACAGAGGAAGCAATTACTTATTGTTGATCCATTTGAAGATTGGGACCAACCTAACAAGTGAACCTCAATTCTCATTCACATAAGTTGACAATGTTGTCTACTAATGGAAACATCCATTACTAAAGAGCTTTGTAGGGCAGAAACCAAAGATTAGCATCAATCAAAGGTGCCAACAATTTGTAAATGAGATTCCATTAGGGCGAATAATACCCTATTTTTATGCATGTCAATCACCACCCACTATCCAACCATGAAGTCGAGCGTTTCACCCCACCAATAGGATTGGAACATATTTCATTATCAATCAAATACCTACTCACCAATAGTAATGGAATATATTTCATGGTCAATCATAGACCTAAACTCACAAATAGTATCAAATATATTTCATGATCAATCATACACCTAAACTCACCAATAGTAATGGAATATATTTCATGATCAATTATATACCTCTTAAGAGAACTCAGCAAGAGAATTAGAATTAGTCACTTCAACTTGAGCAAAAACTATAAAGCTGATTTATTTTCAAAATTTTCCCAATAATGTGCAATCATTCAATTTCTCAACCTAAATGGAACAAATAAGAAAACAACAATTCCCAAGTTCAATCAAAGCATGCATTAAATCCACCGACATACCCCAGGCGTTTTTCCCGAAATATCACCTATATACCCTATAATATTCCCTGTCAGGTACCCTTCAAACTATTTTTCCCGATCTAACACCCTTTGCAGTAAGACGCCCCCTTGCAGCGCGTTTTACGTTGATATGGCGCCACGTGGGGTAAGACACACCCCCTGCAGTGGACTTTACGCTGACATGGATACACGTGTCTAAAGCGCGGCCCTTGGGGTGCGCCTTACGACATGTAAATTATAGCGCGGGTCAGGGGCCACGCTTTTCAATTATCACATGTTCAATTATCAGACATGCATAATGCAAGGCGCGGTGTAGGGACCATACCTTGCATTATTTACCCCAACCTCTCTGCTTTAAAGCATTCTCTCTCGGCTATAAATAGCCCTCTCCCCGTAAACTCTCTCACAATTCCCTCTCAACCGAGAAATTAATACAACAATCCTTTCAACCAGTAAATAACACCCGACTATCCTCTTATATTTAATTCAGAAGTTCGTTCGATCTTTCGTTATAAGGTAACTTTGTTATAATATTTTTTTACTATACTTATTATTTATTATGATTATTTGAAAAAATATTATAGTAATTGTTTTCAATTAATTTTTGTGCCAGCTCAAGGGGAAAGCGGGAACATACGTCGAAATATTTTTGCGGTGCAGGTAATAATATAAAATTATATTATTTAAATTATTTATGTTTATGTGTAAAAATTTTATTGTGTTATATTTTCGTTCATATATTATTTATTTAATTAGGTTTGTTTCAGTTATTGTTTTGCAGATATAATATTGTCGCACTTTTAAACTCTAAGAATGACGCGACTTTCAGCTATTGTTTATTATGATGGAGAAATTCGAGAAGATGAAACCAGCGTTGTTTTCGTATCAAATGAGCGTGTTAAAATATCATTCAAGAGAAACATAACACTTGAGGAGCTGATAACGAAGATTTCGAGGAAGGTTCATGTTGGAAGTAGTAGAAGAATGTCGTCGTTGCAGTAAAGATTTCCAACATCATTGTTGTCATTAACTTATACAGTGTTCGAACTATCAAACAATGATGATGTTGAAATGATGGCTGATTCTCAAAGTAATTATTCAGAAGGCAATATTGAGATGTATGCAAAGTTTGTTCAAGTGTGTGCTGTTCGGGGTCAGTCATTAAGCTCCCACTATGGGTTGACTGAACAAGTTGATCAAGTTGACAGCCCGACTACAGTAATGTGTAATGATTTTAACGCCATAATAGGAAATCCGCATCATGGTGCAGTCACATCAACTTCAATGGGGAGACATTCATCCGCAACTCCTTACGATATGTACCGAGGTGGGTCCACAAACAATCCATATGGCAACATCGCGTCCAGTTCAAGGGAAAGACATTCATCTGCAAATTTCTTTGACCTTAATATGGAGGTACCATCGACGCAACAATCTGTGCAGTTTCCATTTGACACGATGGCTTCAAGCTCCAGGGGGAGGCATTCGACTGCGAGCTTGTTCGATCTCAATGTCAATATGCCTTCTAGTTCAAGCGGAAGGCGTGCAAGTAGTAAGTTCTTCGACCTAAATGTGGAGAGCATGGAGGAACCATCATCTCCACCAGAAGAACCGCTTCGTGAGCCTGGTGCGGATGGTGCTGAAACTTAACTATTCATTCACCCAGAATCACCGCAATTCAACTCCGATGATGATGATAATGTAGATGAAGTTCCATTAAATGTGGCACAAACTGACCGTCCAACACACATGTATGAAGCTGATTATGGTGCAATGTACGGGCCAGAATTTACGGATATGCCTCATCTCGGTAACTATGGATATTACTCATCAATAAATAATGGTGAGTTATCTTTAGGCATGAAGTTTTCAAGTAAAGAATAAGCGATGATGAATATAAAAAATTACAATATCCAAAATTATGTTCAATCGAGAGTCGACCGCTCCACAATAGAAAAATGTGTATGCTACTGTGCCCGACGCGAAAACGAATGTAATTGGATGGTTCGCGTATCGAAGAGGAAGAGGAAAAATAACAGATGAGAACTAACAATATACAACGGTCCTCACACATGTTGTGCTGGAAGGGTCAACCAATATCATCCCAACTTGGACTCTGAAGTGATATGTCAAGCCATCATGCCCATGGTAAAAGCAAGCTCTCATATAGATGTTGTTGTGTTGATTTCAGCTATACAATCGCAGTATGGATACACTGCCTCTTATAAAAAAGCTTGGTTGGCAAAACAAAATGCTATTGTCAAACTTCATGGCGAATGGGATACATCCTACAACGAACTTCCAGGATGGTTTAGGCTGGTGCAGAGGTTGAATCCTGGGACAATTGTGGACTTCGAAACCTCCTATGATACCATAATGATCGAGTTTTTCGTGATCGATGTCAATTCTACCATATTTTTTGGACTTACCCACAATGCGTTAATGATGTCAAATATTGCAAGCCTGTGGTCCAAATCGACGAAACTTTCTTGTATGGAAAATACAATCAAGTTTTATTATTGGCAGTTGTCCAAGATGTCAATCGAAACATTCTTCTAGTTAAAATAAAATATTAAAAAATTTAAATACTTAAATAAAATATTAAATAAATTAAAAACAAAATTTTAAATATAATAAAATATACTTTAAACAGTTAAAATAAAATATAAAAGTATTTGAGAGCAGTTGAGAGGATTTGATGTGATAAAAGTGATTGAGAATGGGGGTATTTATAAGGAGGAGGTGAGGTGTAAACGGCCGGGGTAGGTGGGTAATTAAACCTAAGGCGCGCCGTAGAAGCTCGCCTTTTTGACGCATGTTAGTATTAAAGGTAAAGCGCGGCCACTGCCCCGCGCTATACCTCACGTGACGCTAAATCATTGAAAAACGCGTTGCAAGGGGTGTCTTACCCCACATGACATCATATCGACGTAAAGCGCGCTGCAGGAAGTATATCTTATTGTAAAAGATGTTAGATCAAGAAAAATAGTCTGAAAGGTGTCTGACAAGAAATAATATAGGATATATGTGATATTTCAAAAAAAACGCCCATACCCCAGCTATACTGTTCCACTAAAACACACTAAGAAACGTAGTAGGCAGGAGTGAACTAAACATTTATTGAACCCCGGCAGAGAAAAGGGTTTAAAGGCAAAGGACCACAAGGAAATAAAAAAATGGCAATTAGCCCTATAATCGGGAGACTTTATGGGTGCATTATTCATACATTTTTACTCACCAATTGAAAAAGGCAACTTGCTGCAAATGACAATTTTATAAACACAGTTGAATCACATCAAACATCTGCTTCCAAAAGGCTATATAATATGTTTTACAGATATCAAGCAATCGACTCGAGAGAGATATTTGATCAGATCTTATATTAATCATGCTAGAAATTGATACTCATTAGGGGGAGAAGATTGAGCCAATCCACCAGTTTGTATTTATATATTATATCTATATAAACACTTTGAGATAAGAGAGAGTGATGGATTTTAACATCCTTTCCTTTCCACTCTGTTCACATCAATATTAAATTCAAGTCCACTGCAAGACTAAGGAAAGTGCCCATTACATCAAAAACCCAGAATCGAGAAATAAGAAAACTGAATAGGACTAGTTGCAAAGTTCTTCATAAATCAAGAAAAAACATAAAAAACCAAACCATAGGATAATAATAATGACCACCGAAACAAAAGTAGATGTAGCGAAAGAGAAAAAAGAAAGCTCAAATGGAGATTTGAAAACTAGCGACCGCTGTTTGGACACTCCCTAGCAAAATGACCGGAACCTCCACAGTTGTAGCAACCGCCTCCGCCTCCACCAAATCTGCCTCCACCACCGCCACCGTCTTGTCCACATTCACGTGCCATATGACCCATCTCGCCGCACTTATAACAAGCACCTCCACCTCCACCACCGCCTCCGTATCCACCTCTCCTTCCTCCACCACCATATCCATCAGATCCACCTCCACCGTAACCGCCGCCGCTACCGTAACCGCCTCCTCCACCATAACCGCCTCGTCCGGATCTCGTACTGCCTTGGACTGGGTTGCCGTTGGGACCAGAAACCTCGACGGCTTTGGTTTTGCCACCGGAGGATTCAATAACAAACTCGACCTCTTCACCGTCGGCGAGGCTACGGAAGCCCTCGGAGCGGATGGAAGACTGATGAACGAATAAATCGTCGCCGCCGTTGTCAGGGGTTATGAAGCCATAACCCTTTTGGTCATCGAACCACTTCACTTTCCCACTCAACCTATTATCACCCATTTCCTTCAAAGACAAATACACCCCAAAACAAAAGAGAGAATCAGAGAAACAAAGAGAGACTGCAAATATGAAGCGGAGGCTGAGTCGGAGGTGACAATATATATTGTAGATCAGAGCAGTGCAAAAGGTGTGAGTGCCAGGTCAGATTAGGGAAATATATAAATCATAATTAATTATAAATATAAGGGTAAAGTACATCCAAAGTCACTTAACTATGCATACTAACAAAAATATCATTTTCTCTTTCTAAATGTTATAAAAAGGTCACTTAATTAAAATATTGTTATAAAAAAACACTTTATCGTATAAAATAGTGGCACGATCAGATATAATAATTTTAATCTTTAAAACTTATGTACTTTATCAATTTGATTTTAATCTAAAATAATTTTTAAAATTTCACTCTTCATATTTAAAAATTAGCTTACTCTATTCCCATATGTAATGAGGTAAGGGAGAGGTAGGATAGTAGGCTGCCCCCAACGCCAGGTTGAGAGCAGCTTCCGTGGGAGACATCCGACAATCATAATTATGAAATTATTCAATTATTACTTCAATTTGATTGACTCATTTGATTTGATAGTATCATAAAAATTTAAATTAATAGAGATTTTAAATATGAAAGGTGAATTTACTAAAACATTTTGAATTAAAATAAAATTTATAGAATTCATAAGTTTAAGATTAAAAAATGTTATTATAGGAATTCAAATTAGATGTTTGTTTTAATTTTAGTGATAAAATGGTTCATTTGTAATCGTATTTGTTTATAATTTTTTTAAATGACATATTTATTATTAAATTCATAATTAAGTGACTTTGGATGTAGTTTACCCTAAATATAAATCCTCTTAATTAAAGGGACAAATGAAAACGTTGGCGGGGTTTTAGAGGAAAGGGATCGGACGGCTGGGGGTGTGGCATTGGGTGGATGAATATCAAGCGTTTGATTGTACGAAGAGAAAGGGCGTCCTCGGAATGTGAAATTACGAAAGCGTCCAGAGTCCTAAGAGAGAGAAAATGGTAACTTGATAGAAGTCGGAACCCACATTAAAAGCGGAAACTTTTGCTGTGCGACGTTAAAAATGGTTAAAAAATAGCGACACCGATTATGTTATATCATTTAATTAAAAATATTATTAAGTACAATAATATATTAGGTAACGCTTATATTGACATATTTTATAAGTAAATCGATATATTTATACAGGTAATATTGTAAATTTACCTATTACATTATAATTATCGGTTTCAGTGTTTTTTTTAATCGATACAATTTGAAATGTATCGAAACTTTATGCGTGCACCTCGTTGGGCATTCATTCTGGAAAAAAGTATCGACACAAACTTAAAAAGTGTCAATACATTATTTAAACCTATTTTATCATAAAACCGATATATTTCTATCAGATACATTGTAAATTTACTTATCATATTGTAATTATCACTTTCGATGTTTTTGATATCGATACTTTTAATAAATGTATTGACACTTTATACGTGCACCCGTTTGACATTCATTATGGACAAAATGTATCGACACAAATTTAACAAGTGTCGATACTTTATGCTGACCTATTTTCTTATAAAATCGGTATATTTATACCGGTTACATTGTAAATTTACATATTACATTATAATTATCGGTTTCGATTTTATTGGGATCGATACTTTTAATAAATTTATCGACACTTTATGCGTGCACCTCGTTTGAACATTCATTCTGGACAATAAGTATCGACACAAATTGCACAAGTGTTGATACATTATGTTGATCCGTTTTCTAATTAACCGATATATTTATACCAGTTACATTGTTAATTTACTTAGTACATTATAATTATTGGTTTCGATGTTTTTTGGGTCGATACTTTTAGAAAATGTATCGACACATATTTAGGTAGTTATTATACATACCTAAATATGTCATGCGAATTTAATGTTGTACCCACCCTTCAACTACCACTACCAATACCACATCCTATTGAAAGCACGACTGAAACATGTTCAATGAACCTTTACTTACATCTCCATCAACTCCGGGACCACTGAACTTGTACAACAAAATTTTTGTCATGGATCATACTAATGCAGACAATGTTAAGATAACCGAGGAATGCCATGAAGTACATAATGTTGATGAATCTGCCAGATTGGTTGGTCAACTCTTCTCTTCACGTGATCAAGCTTGGTACTTTTACAAGGGATTTGCACGGGAACATGTGTTTAGTGCACGTAAGGGAACAACACGGCTTGACGTGGAAGAGATTGTGAAGACAAGAATTTTGTTATTCCAAAGAAAGGTTTCGAGTATCAAAAGTCAATACTGTTGAGCGTCAACGTGCTCATACGCCAGTCACAAGAACATGATGCAAGGCTAGAGTCGTAGTTATAGCAACAAATACAAATTATCACTGGGTTATAAGTAAGTCTTATCAGAAACATAATCATGCATTGTGCACACCTGCTATGACACCATTTATGCGTTCTAATAGAGCTGTAAGTAAGGCTGATATCGATGAGGCAACAACAATGAAAGAGGTCAGTGTTGGCACGTCACAAGTAATGAACTATTTAACGCAGCAGGCAGAGCTATCATAATGTTGGATTTACACATAAAGACCTCTACAATGCACTTCAAAGAGGTAAAACAAAGGAAATTGTCGATGGGGATGTGAATGCACTAGTTGCTTACTTTGATTATAAGAAACATGATGATCCCAGGTTTTTTATGACATACTCGGTAGATGAATCAGGGGCATTGCATAATCTTATTTGGTCGGATTCTACATCAAGATCAGATTATACATGCTTCGGTGATGTAATTGCGTTCGACACAACATACAAAAATAATTTGTATGGTCGACCAATTATGCCTATTGTCAGTGTCAATCATCACCATATCACAACTGTGTTTGCCACTTCCATAATCGCTGACGAGACGTCCCAATCTTTCGAGTGGGTGCTACAGAATATTTTAGAAGCCATGATGAATAAATTGTCTATTTCAGTTGTCACCGATAGGGATAGGGCAATACAGAGGGCTATCAAATCTGTTATCCCTTATGCTAAGCACAGATTATGTTCTTGGCATCTTTCTCGCAATGCACAAGCTAACATTGGTGACCCAAAATTTACAGCAGCATTCTCAAAATACATGGCTTCCTGGTGGACAACCGAGGAATTTGATATTTAATGGCGTTCGGTTGTTTCAGAATTCAACGTCGAAAAACATCCATGGGTGATTGAGAAAGAAAATACTCGACACTTATGAGCACAAGCATATCTAACCGGTCATTTCTTTGCCAATATTCGCTCAACACAAAGATGTGAGTCTATGAATGCTTCACTAGCGATTGCACTAAAACACAAGAAGACATATTTAGATGTTGTTCGTGCAATTGAAGATGAAATTAGTAGAATACGTATGAACGAGGTGAAAGCGGATTACTTAAGTTCCCAAACAAAACCCTTCCAGATCACAAAACTGGTCGACCTTGAAAGCCATACTGTTGAGATTTTTACCCGTGAATCTTTTCGTGCGTTCTAAGATAAACTTCAACGGGAGACATTGTACCGGATTAAGAAAGAGATTCAGTCCTTATCAGATGAATGTCAACATTATATTTTGAGAAAGTACAAAGAAAAAAATAGGACATTTGAAATTAGTTTTGATTCTCGTACGGAAATGCTAATTTGCTCTTGCAAAAAATTCGAGACCGTTGGACTTCCATGTCGCCATCAACTTCACATTTTGAAGCACTTGGATTACACATATTTGCCCGTGACTTTGATTCAAAGTAGGTGGACTAAGGATGCGAAGGCTTCTGCACCCAGTTATGTTGACTTGAATGTGTCTCCAGAAGTGATGCAAATAGAAAGGTTCACTGCTCTACGTTCAACGTCAAGTAGCTTATGCTACATTGCATCAAAGACATACAAGTCTTTCAAAACCGCAAGAGATGAGATGAAAAGGCTAATAAAAGAATTTGAAAACTCGTTTGGTTTGAATGATTCAGTCAACCAGAGCAGTGTAGTAAACAACGTTCGCGACTCTCAACGAAAACAACGCAAGAGAAAAGAAGTACCGAAGAACAAGGTCGAGAAGAAAATTAGGCGATGTGGGTACTACAACGGTGAGGGACATAACAAACTAACATGTCCTCAAGTCAAGCTCAGTTTGAATACAAGCACATAACCTACATCAACTGATTTTTTTGAAGACGAAATGGAATGGCCATTCAGTCCCGCACGTGATGACAACGATCTCCATATATCGTAAGTATCAACATGACTCCTATTGTGTATAAGAAACATGTACAATAACGTATTGCTAACTTTTCTCATCTCATATATAATTACAGTCACATACAAAATTATGAATCGTATGTAAAATTATAAATCTTATACAAAATTAACCCTACATTAACAAAATTTCTTCTCTTAGTCTATTTTGATTGTGGCTTACGAGACCGTTTAATATTTCATCTGCATCATCACATAAATACCAAACAATCTGTAGAATATAGTCTCCCGCAATCATGGCCGAAATTAGTTTTGTAACTGGAATTATCCAGGTTAATCATGTTGACTGCATAGCCAATAAAACTTGGTCCAAATGGTAAGGTAGGAGTTGGTAAAACAAGCATCCTTTGAGGGTTTAGGGTTTAGAGCCCTCCAACGTAAGGAGTGCATGATTGAACATTACGTATAATAGTTGTATTCAGTTGAAGAATTGTTCTTAATTTTATATAAGGATAGTTGTTATGATATACATTCACGTTTCGGGACCAATTAGTTAGATGCGTGCAGTAGCCTATATCCTCGAGGCAGAGCACAAGAAATCTGGCACTTAAAGATTTACTAAGAGCGGTAGCTTTTGCTCTGAATGAAGACCGAACCTAGAATCAACTTTGCAATTATGCCTATCATGCTGAAGAGAACTTGTTGAAAAATAGGATTTGCACACAACTACAAGCATTTTAAACACTAAACCCAACTCTAGAGATGTCAGGATTTCCCATAAAATGATTGACATTTCTGTTCCATAATTTTCTATGTGAGTAGTTGGGTTTAGGGTTTAAAA